ATTTTTTAAAACCCAACCCCAAAAAAATTTCCCAAAACCACCTCCAATTTTTTAAATGCATGTTGATTTATTATGTCACGGATTATTAAGTGTAATTTTATGTTTGTATTACAGAAAGAATTGATTTTGATGTAAAGACTGATGGCACAAGGTAATGGTATTATTTAACAAAAGGTAACAAGCTTTTAAAAGTAAAACATCAATTAATCCAAAAAGCAGTACAGAGGAATGATGAATGGCAATCTACTTTTAATTTACTAAATTTTGTTAATCTTTAATTATAAGCAATATTTGCAAACAGTCCATTGCTAAAATTCCGCTTACGTATACACCCCATACTTCATTTACTTGACATCCCTAACTTCTGGTATTTTCCGGGGTGTCTTGATAAACATTAAATCTTGAAAAATGTTCTACATTTATGTATCGGACTTTTCACTTTTGAACGAAGTAACCAATAATTTCAGTTATAAAAAAGTACATGAAGCATTCGCACGTGGTGATTCACATTAATTGATTATTTTAAGACGGGTCACTCTGTTATTATTCTTTCATGATAATAGTGGTACTTATCAATTTCCCAAATTTAACTGTCACAAGTCTACAGTTGAAGCACACGATATCGCAAAAAGTTTTTAAATAAAAAAGTTATACCTCAATTTCCAACAAAATGATAATAATACAAATATTTAAAGATGGATTCGGGGATATTAAGTGTCGTTATCTGTGTATCTATGAAGTATATGAAAGGTGTTTTAATTTACCAAAATATCACTGGTATGTCAGGAACACTTTATTTTAAATAAAGAGATTTTATTGCATTAAGCTTAGCATTTTGAATGTCATCAAGAATCAAGTTTCACTATACATGTACATGAATATCCAAGAAAATGTTATTTAATGATTTTTGAAAATTAAATACTGTACTTTTTAGTGAAATGTTTAGGTATTTTTTCTATATTGTTGAAGATTTTATTTTACAGTTCAAAGGTATTACATGAAGGAAATACCGCACGTGATGATACAAATGTTGATGAGCAGAGATTAAGGCGTGTAATAAATGTTCGGAACTATAAGATACACGATACACTCGAGGATGATTGTGATATTATTGATGTATCGGTTTTACCTACAGGAGATATTTTATTAGCTGACGGACTCAACAGACAGCTTATAAAAGTGAACAAACAATATAAAGTTATCAGTACCTTATCAATAAATATTGACCGCTGTCTAAACAATGTGTGTCACATTGGTAATAATATTGCTGTAGTATCAGGTTATAACAAGCTGCACTTTGTTGATGTAACAGGAGATATGTCATTGATTAGATCAGTCAGCACATATCATGATTGTTATACATTAACCTGTCATAGTGACAAACTATATGTTGTAGACTATTTTTCCGTACATATTTATTCAACTGATGGTGAATATATAAAACATCTTTACACACCAGAAGACAAATATTCCATGTATACTTATACTGACATCGCAGTGAGTAATGACGGTAGTATGATATATATCATGAACAAACAATATAAGCTGACTACTATTGATAGCTCCGGTAACCATTTATTCACGTTAGATATACCTGATTTTGAAGAATTTGGTATTTACGGAAATGGGTTATGTGTAGATGATCAAGGTTTCATTTTTCGAAATTAGGTGAAAACGGGCTTTTTAAGAAAGTTTAAAAGGGAATGAAAAAAGGGACAGGGCCCGGACTTATATTTAACAATAAGTCCTGGAACCCCCGGCCAAAAAAAATGTCTATGGTTTTGCTTAATTTCGGGGTTGAAGGGTTTAGGGGTTTATTCATTTGGTTTTTGCCCAGTAATAATTGGTTTTACCCTTTATCAGGAGGGGAAAAAAAATTTTAAAATTTTTTAAAATTTCCGTAATACTTATGCAAGGTTGGAAAAATCCATGTATCTAAAAAATGATTTTACATGTTGAAGACTACATTGTTTATGGAAAATTGTCAAACTTTTCCCGGGATACAAGATTTTTAACACTTTTTATCTTTTCGCTTCTTTGCTTCACAAAAGTTCACTTGTATCTACCACTACTTACCACATACATTTTCTGATATTTTGTACCAGTTCCAGTCTGTTTGTCTGCTAATTACTGACAACTTCTAAACTTAAACATAGAAAAAACAACATAATTGCATTTGTTTAAGTGTTTTAAAACATGACTTTAGGCAGGAACACGTGACTCATTAGATACTTGAACTTTTATATTTTGGCATGTTGTATTCGTTTTACTACAGTAACTCCTATACTAGCTATAACAATTAACTAGCAGAAATGTCATCATATCATTAATCACTACACATTATTAATACTTATCTTTATTTTAACTAAGTTATTACATGCGTTATCTTTCACACTACTTATTTAAAATTATCATAAATAAACATCTGTTGCCATAGTCATGTATTGTCGTTCGCGAGGTATTTTGCTGTGTGGCATTGCGACGGCAGAAAAAAACTAGAAGATAATGACGAAGGCACTAATATTTAAAAGTTTAAGAAAATCTGATATAAATATATTTTGCGACTTGATGATTTTAAGACAGCTTCAAAGAAAATGTTTCACGATATCCGGGGAAAATAGTAAAATGATTTGATATCATAAAAAATGAATGAAAACATTGTTTATGCTTTACATGTCAGCTCACATAACATTGCACTCGCGTATATCAGTTATTGTTTTTACTCGTAGCTACGTCACTCATGAACGCATCCCCGTCGGCAAATTAAAACAAACTACATCAACAATTGTAAAACGTAACTCATGAACATATTGCAAACTGTATTTCTCTAAAATAACTTTAATTCTTACGCAAAACGTTTGTTTTATTTCATTTACACATATGTACCGTAAACTTTACCACCCTAAAAATTTTACGCGTTTTATGAAGTGCAAGTATTACAAGTGTTTTTATTGAGTGCAATTATCATACAGATATTTATTGAATGCATGTATTAAACATCTGATAATGAGTTCAAGTATCACACAATCATGTTTTTATTGAGTGCAAGAATCGTGCGTGTTTCATTGAGAAGAAGTATTACACGTGATTTATTGAGTGCTAGTATCGCACATATTGTTATTAAGTGCAAGAATCACGCATGTTTCATTGAGAACAAGTATTACACGTGTTTTTATTGATGACATGGATAACACATAATTATTTGTACAGAGTGCAAGTATCATATATGTATTTATCGAGTACAAGTATCATACATGATTTTATTAAGAGCAATTTTCAGCCATCAGTTTATCGAGTGCAAGCATCACACATCTTTTTATTATCCTTGTTTTATGCATTTGGTTGCGGGTTGTAGCAGTATTGTATCCCACAAACTGAAGCACCTTCTATGCTTCAGTAACACATTGACAATAAAGTGTCATTGCAAATAGTAAAAAAAATATTATATTGTATTGAAATTGTATTGTTAAACAATGTTACTGTAAACAGAGAATTTTGTAAACATCATAGCTCGTACAAGGTCATTTTATTAGTTTAGCTATGTAAAATAAAGTTTTCAGAAGTACTGTTCTATTTTATTTCATTGTACATGTATTTACGTTACAATACAGTTTAAAACTACCGAATGCTGTTAGGGTCATCGTTGTTATACTTTTTAATTCCAGACAGTGCGATAGTGGCGATGGCGACAGCGAGGGAAAACGCGATGACGACAGTTAAACGATAATGCGACAGTGCGATGGTACGATGACAACAGTGCGATAACGCCGATGGCGCAGTGCGATAAATGCGATGGTGACAATACTAAAGTGGATAGTACAATCGCGTTGTGCCATGGGCGTTTTAAATCGTACTGTCACCAATTGACTATTGGCAGTTGTTTGTCATCGAACTGTCGTATTGTCGTCATCGCACTAAGCATTGTCGCCCTCTGTTGAAACATTTGGGAAAATAATTTTACTTTTTGTCAATAGTATTTCTTTCTTCTTTTTTGTGTCCTTTTTTTTCTTTTTTGTTACAAAACGTCTAGATGAAAAATAAATTAAATAAAAAGTGAAATAATATAGGGGAAATACTTAAAGAGTTTATACTAGTATATAACATCACTGGGAAATGTAATAAACTGTGTGAAACTTTTTAAAAAGTCGAAAGATTTCAGATGAAAAAAATGGTATTATGTTGACATAAAAGATTATACAGTTATTTCATATGTAATTTGGGAACAGTCAAACTGTTGGCCCGAGGTGGAGGGGGTAGTGTTTAGAACTGTTGCCCAAGGCCGTAGGCCGAGGGCAACAGTTCAAAACACTATCCCCGACACCGAGGGACAACTGTTTGACTGTTCCCAAATCACATATGAAATAACTGTTTTATTACCTGATCAATTACTGTTTTAACAGTACTTGCAGAAGAAAAAAGGAACAAGAACATAGTTTTGCTCATATGTTCATAATTAAACTTAATACTTTAACTATGTCACGTCACGTCTGGTTCATGATCAAGATCGATGGACTCTTCAAGTGGGAATCCTCTATGACGTCAATGACGTCAGAACACGCAAGGGAAACAGTCGAAACTATTGACCGGTACAGTTCGCGAACGTTGACGTTTTTAGAATTTCAGAAAACAGTAAAAAAAATACCAAATTACATTTATGTAAGGTATCAGGTAATAAAACAAAATATTTAATGGTCAGTAGTACATAGAGGATATTCAAGTTTTCCCCCATAAAAACAGGATTTATTTCTTATCGAGTGGTATGAAACATATTTCATGAGTTGCTGTATTATTTGATAGATGTTTCTCTTTATGACATAACAATTTGAAAGACTTGCCCTAAAATTGTGTATATTGGCTGAATTTAGAAGGAAGTAGCCCGGCAAGACACAAGTGAAAATACGAAAAACATGTTTCACTGCAATGAAGTATTATCTATAAGTCTAAATATAGTTCATTGAGATAAATCTAACTGGTCAACATTGTTCACTTAAAATTTCTGCTAAACTCACTTGATTTATTTCTAATAGATTTTGAATTAGTCATCAGAGGTTTTATTGTTTTGTAAGATGTAGAAATTATTTATTGAAGATGTAGAATTTATTCTATTGACTAACATTGTAATTAAAGAAATTTACGTCAAGACATAATTTTCTCATTGGATCTAAAATAAGTGGTCAGCAATTTTCATTTTAAGTTGAACTGGTTAGCAGGTTCTACTATACGTTTAACTGGTCTTCGGTTTTGACGTACAGTACATTAAGTCTGCTGACCATATAGTGTACGGCAAAAAAAAACACTTTCAAAAAAGTAATTTCTTTTATATTTTAGTTGCTCAGCAGCTAAACTAGCTGGTAGTTGGTCATTCGTTATCCCAAACTACCTACCAGCAGGTAGTCGGTAATTTGAACTTTGCATGTTTTCCCCTCAAAACAGAAAGTACTTTTCCACTTTTCCGGAAAGAATATACAATGTAATAGAAATAGAGGTAGATAGATGTTTTTTTCAAGATTGAAACACCTTGTCTCACTATGTCCACCAATGCTGACTAGTGAAAATTGCTGAACACTTATATTAGATATATAGACAATATTATGTTTTGACGTACATTTCTTTTTTATAACACTATTAGTAATACAACACATTCTATATCTAACACAACAATAAAACCACCGATGACCAATTTCAATTTAATAGGTACATTTATTACTAAGTGGTTTATCAGTATTTATAGTGGATTCGAATCCCGACAGGGACTTTGGATTCTTTCATGTGAGGAAGCTATCCAGCTAGTCGGTGCTTCTACTCAGGTGACCGTTCGTGCCTGAAATATGCACAGAAGGGAACCTGAGGTCTTCCTCCACCAGTAAAGCTGGAACGTCGCGATATATGTCGATGTGACGTAAAACCCAAAACAAACAAACAAGTTTTTTTTTATAGTGATCAGTGCTGACAAGTTATTAATGAACTTTCTATGTATTTGTCCAGAAAACCTATGTACTTTCGACAAGTTAAATATAGGGAATCTTTTCTTTTTGTGTTTTACACAGACTGTTCAAATTTACATAATCATCATTATCATTTTCCATTACAAATTTTTATTTTTATACATATTTTTAATATGATCTATGAATATGATTTGTATGTATTTTATATAAGTAATACCAATTATTTTTACATTTTTGCATCTTTTAAATATCAACATAACATCTTTTCCATCTGAAAGCATTCGCCTACATTCTTTTTCCAAGACCAAGACGGAAATACCGAGACAATCAACGGTGACTGCTATTTGTCTCTTTTGAAATACAAGTTCCTGCCTGCACTCCGTATATCAAAGTTTTACACAATTTATTACATTTTCCGTGTATTTCTCATATCTTTGGATATAAAATGTTACTTATTATTCATTGATAATTTTATTTAGACGTTTTAAGTATACAAAAGAGAAAAAGAAAGAATAAAAGAAAAGGAAAAAGAGAACCCCCCCCCCCCCCCCAAAAAAAAACCTATTTACAAAAGTAAAATTGTTTTCCCATTTTCTATATCGTCAGATTATTCGTCAGCAGTTTATAGCCTCCAAATCAGACCGGAAGGTGAAAGTCGACAATGCGATAAGACGATGGCGAGAATACGATAGTGCGGTGACGACAGTGCGATAACGCGATGAC